AAGTGTCATGCAATAGGCATGCATACACTATCGACCTACCAAGCTGACTAAGGACACATCCAACGTTTTACGCAAAGCTCCTAAAGCCCTACCATCGCAACGACGCGATTTCCAACCTGGATGCATCGCACGGACTTAGGAACGTGGCTTTAGAGCTACGGCTTTTTATTGGGCTGAAGATTGAGCACCTTCGCGTTAGCGCCTCAGCATCGTCCTCAAAGCGTCGAGAAAAATCGGGTCCACCTGAAACAGAGCGAGATCTCTTGGCAGGAGGTCCCGCATTATCAGCAGAAGCAGCTGCAGTAGGAGAAAGGGCTTACAGAGCCTGCTCCAATTGATGGATTCAACTATGGATTGCATCCCCAGGCGATTTTATTTGACGCCATGCAAAATTGCGAACTTCGCGGGCAGTCGATTATCCCTCACGCGTTGTCGCGTTGACGACACCCTATCGGTCACTTCGAGCAGTTGCTGGTGCATCAGCGAGAAAAGCTTCTTCACCTTTATTAAACGCAATCACAAGGCGGACAAAGATTGTAGACCAGCCACAGATGAAGCAGAAGGGACGCCCTTTCCGGACACTACCCCTCCTCAGGATCGACAGGATAATCGAGAGCGTGATGGAGTCGAGAGCGTGATGGAGTAGAGGGACGTCCGCCTATGGAAAGAGCTCTTGGTGAAATGGCTGGGATATCCAGCAAACCAGAATACGTGAAAGCCTCGTACTCGTATTCATCGCGACTGTCTTAGTATCGTTCGCACGTTTGACGCGAGTCCTAGGACGGCCTCCGCTTAAAGAAACTGCCCCTTCCTCTTCTCTCTCTGCCCCTCACATCGTGAAACCGACTGATGACTGGAATAACTTCACGAGGATTCTCGATATCAGAGTGTTACCCATTCTGCGCTATCAAATGCGCAAACCAAAAGCGCATATTGCGTACCTTCAACAAGTCTGCAGCGGTGCTCGCGCTTTGCAAACGGTGGATATTTACGTGTTTGGATGAACCCATACTGAATGCCTGATGAAATTCAGAATGAATTGCTGATCATATGGTACATACGTGAGGCTTTGTGACTCACCACCGGCACGAGTGGTCCGTCCGATTGCGCGAAAAGACCAATTTCGGGTCATTGGTCGAGCACCCATTCCACAAAAGAGTTCATCGAACTCTAGGGTGGAACCACCGCGTCTATCGTGAAAGTAATTATGACGATTAAGTTTACGATAGCTCGAATGCGCTGAATGCCGCGGTATTGAAACATTATCCAAGTTTGGTGGTGGTGAAGATCTTACCTTCACTATACACACTGTATAGTTGTATATCTCCTTCCAGTTCTGTTGTATCTGTCGTATCAGAACTGGAAGCACTCATCGGGTAAAGGGTTTTAGAGTCTATTGGCTATAATAATAAATGTCACTCCACCTTTCCTCCTCTTTACGTGAGTCAACGGTCCGCTCGAAGCGAGTTACACATGTTGAGACGTGCCAGCTGACTTAAGACTTCTTCAGAAAGTGTGCGTACACTACTTCTAGCTCGCGAGGGTCGGGCGGGGAACATGATATAACAATGAGCGTTGAAAGTCATGCACTTCAGCCGAAGTGATGGAACTTCACACGTCCGTCGTGTTTCTCGAACAGGGATAATATGAACCACGCTAATCCCCGTGAACAAATGTAACGAGAATGGGCTTGTACGATCCACTCAGAAGCGAAGCCGAGTGGCTCACGTGTAAATATTGCTTTCCTATTTATGGAATGACCGTTTTTACATAAATAACACTAAATGAATCTATGTTTCTCTAGACCATAAAAGATTATACGTATCGCATAGTGAGAGGCTACCGGGCTCCGTGTCCAATGGGCCGCTTTTTCCAGAGTACGATTCTGCGCATTCAAAAAAGTAATTGTCCAAATATCTGTCATCAAATCATACACTTGAAGTTGACAAAAAAGCCAATGGATAATGGTGTAGAATACTCATTCACCGCAATATGTTAAGTATCCCTTTAACGCCTAGTCACTATGTATGCAACACTGGTGTCATGTTCATTCGTTTATCTGAACCATTACACAACAGTGAGCACTTCAAAATCGAGAGCCTCTAACACACTGGATTTATTCCCTCATTTTCGCACCGTATGGTGATTGTGCGTTGAATACAGTGCACATCAATAATTTGCCACTTTATCAGTTCATTTGGCTTAACGATATACTGAGAGAGGTGCGGTTCCCCCTAACGATGACCTTCATGTTACAATCAGTGAAGCAACCAAAGTATCTAACGCTCATGGGTACAGCGACTCTCTCAGTTCCGACCCGACACCATCGCACTCCCTAAGAGTTGAACAGTATAGCCAATCACCGTATGTGTCGGCCTATGCAAATTTTCAGACGCTCTTTGCGCCATATTATAGCACAATTTGTAAACTACGTGACCATTATACACGGCAGAGAATTTTCACGGTATCGCGCCGCAAAGCTCACAAAAGCGTCCAGCTCTTCTATTTCAAACTGCGATTGTCGTTAATACTTTTGAGACTCGACCACGCCATGACATACGGGTCTTTCATAAAAAAATGCCCGGCGTAGTCTTTATTGGCGTACGCTGCGGCTTCGCGCCCGAACAATAAGGGAGAAGAGCGCTCGTCAATTCCTCCATGATCATGTCACCACTTTCTGACCCTTCAATTTGCCATTTCTCAGAGGCATCACCTGCGTCTAGGGCAGTAACAGACGAGTTAGATTCGAAACCCTCTATCGAGACAATATTTTTGGTATATATTGTGACGGGGTTTCATGTACCTTGAACAGGTGCGTGTCACACGAGATGGGCTTGGTGTGACAGCACTCAAACAAGAATACGGTATGTGGCTACGTAGCCAGAAGTTATGCATGTATTAAGATTTTACAAGTTATATTTAGGAAAATCTAAACATTTAAAATAAGGCGGCTTTGCCGCAGATAAATACCGACGAGTTTATTAGCCTTGGGTTAAGGCAATAATTACTCGTGGAGGTAGCGGGTTACAATCCGCTACACTCGTATTGGTTCTTGTAAAGAACGAAAGGTCGGTGACCTAAATTACACTTCATCAAGCGCTAAGCTACGGCAGCCCCGCTGCAGATATCTCCAGTGAATGAGCCGAAAATATCGTGTTGAGGCACATCATATCGCCTCATCCTTCGAACAATTTTCAAGCCTGATTAGTATTGCTCGTAACGTTAATCACCACTTAGTTTGAGAGGTCAACGCACGAAGTGAAGATCGAGGTGAATAAGTACCACCCGATACATTTGGAACCCCAAGATAGACAAGAGCTTGTTATGCTGGTCTTCTTGTCTTGGTGAACAATTGTCCGACATTGTGTTTGGCCTAATTGTCAAGCAGTTACAAAAAATGGATGCTAACGCTATGAACTCCATATTTGTTTGATCTTTGTTAAAATGCAAAAACTTATTTTTTAATCACGAAATAACATCATAATTAGCTGTACAGATAAACAATTCAGCATTCTCAATTCAAGCTCTTGTCGTCGGCCCTGACCCAGGATGTGTCTACGTAGACGTTAGCGCACAGCTATATACCCTTGTCAACGGTACGATGGGAGATAAAGTCGTCTGCAATCCTGCTTTCCAGCGGAAAGCAATACTGTTAGGTTGAAGTGGGCGGCGGGGTCGAAAACGCTTTTGGAATAAACTCGAGCGCACATTTCGTTCTCCAATTAAGCAAAAGATTCACATAAGTAGGTTACCTGAGGCTCAGCGAGCCGATCTGATACTATCGCAACGGCAAAATCACAACTTTTTCGATAGAGTCACATCAGACTCTTAATCACGTCGCGGTGAATGGACCGATTATTTATGATTAGGACATTTTTGCCGCCAAATATACCGCAATTCTTGCTCTTGCAAACGATCAAGATCGACTTGCCAAACCAGCTTTAGCCCATAAGGCATGTGTCGTAACACACCCCGCGTTGGGAAACGGGGCAGGGTGAGTGCAGCTCGTGCAAAATATGGGCGGAATATTAAAAAAGCTTGGGCCTCGCAAATGTGTCGTAACACACCCTTCGTTGGGAAACGGGCAGGGTGAATGCAGCTCGTGCAAAATATGGGCGGAACGTTAAAAACGCCTGGGCCTCGCAAAAATTTCGTGTTTGAGAACGTCTTGGCTGTATAAATGTAGTTGATGCTTCTTTCTTGTATTGGGAATCAACGAGTCACTGATCAGTTGGCAACTCTCCTTCCGCATCGAACACAGTCTGAATTATGCTGGCACAGAGCTTCTATTCTTTGAAATCGCTCATCAATCCAGATGTTTAGCAAATCAAGAACAGATAAAGATTATTTGGACTAGTTACTGCTCGTAAGAGACTGCACTAGCAATATGAACTTAAGCATACGTTTTGCGGGCAAGTGCTCGTAAAGATTTGAAATGAACACACTGACTGAACAAGGATGATTTTTTCAGTGGGTGCGGTCCTAACGATATGTGTACCCTGTCATGGTGTACGTACAAATAATGTTGTTCTCTTCGAACATTTGAGAAGACCATAAGTATTATGGCAGTATATTATAATGTTGATTGTGATTAGCATGCGGAAACGTATGATTGTACTCCGTTGATGAAAACCATAGTACGCGCGGGCTGCTTACACAATGCGTCACTTAGATTTTGATTCGTTAAAAGGGTAAAATAGTGTATTGAACCCCATTTTTAGCTAGCTCGGATTTAAACTCTAATACTTTGACTGAAGAAATGTTATTACTCAATTGAGATGCTCTCGGCTCGACATCGCCGGCAAACACATTTTTTGTACGTTGATTCACGCAGACTTAGAGAAAATAACCATATCTGTGTAAGGTGCGCGACCATTCTACTGCAACCATTTTGGTAGAGGTTTCGCAGCAATGTTTGACGACGGGATGAATGCGAAGATTCTTTGGCGTGCTGAGCACATGTGAGTCATGATCGACACGATATATGGCTCGAAAAAATGATGCCAAGTTACATGTTTCGATTACCTCGTTTCCCAAATATTAATGTTGGACATTGCACTAAAAGGGATATTAATTGGTATGGCCAACGTCCGACAACACTTAAAGAATGGGTTTCGAGGTCGTCCCTCGAACGCGGACCTGGTACTCTCAAAATCCAAGTCCCCGAAATTACCCGAATATATTCATTGTTCAATGTGACTTGCTGGATCATCTATGATGATGAAGCCTTGCTTAATGTATCGCGGAAGGCTTGTAGCCCACGTGAGCTATGGCTATTTCTTCCTGAATATTTTCACCCAAATATTTTACCGCGTACGAGATTACTGTGCTCCACAAAGGTTTACATAGTTATCGACCACGGTGCTAGTTCTGGTCTCATTAATCTTCGCTCAAAGTTAGGTGTACCGCTTACGGCTAGTTTAAAGCGATTACTTCAGACAGCGCCTTCAGTCCTAGGTACTGCAACTGTGTGATAGTGCCGAAGACCTATGACAAGCAAGATTTAGAATGACGGAGTTCGACTGGAACGTCGCTCAATATTTACCTATTGACGGAAAAAGCGAAACGTTTCAGCCAATGCGAGCGCTCCTCCTCGCTTCTAATTATCAGTCCTATTCATACCCATGAATCTTCTGTTACAACCGCCGACCAAGTCTTGAACTAATGAGAAATCCGGCGATACCGTTTCGTAAAAACAAATTTCACCGCAAAGATCTGCCGCATTTCCGGGCAAAGCAATAGCATAGGATCCGTCCGATTGAAAGTGGCAATAACGCCAGGGTCATCACTTGTTGGAGTGGGGGCGCGAACTCCGAGTTCTTAAGGAGTGAGATGTTCCCTTCGATTTAGCTCATAATACCAGCAAGTTTGAAGAACCATGATATTTTTCGGATTGATGTTGTCTTTGCATTGCTCATCGAGGATTACCTGCGAATAAGATTTTTCGGCTATAAATTTTCTGAGTATTTAAAATTGACGATGCGTGATGACACTCTTCGAGTTCTCCACCGCGTGGTGGTTGAGGACTTCGAAGGAAAATAAGTGGATTGATGGGCTCAAGGAACCCAAGGCCGCTTAACTGCAAAATTTAGTACATCCACAAGAATGGTCCTGACGCTGATTTCTTCTCATGTAGTATGCCCGCATCTGAGTGGCCGAAAAAACCTGATTGCAATATAGCTAAAAAACTCATATTTTGCGAGCGCTTTTGCAAACTCTTAAGAACATAAAGAGCGCGAGCTGATCTGTTTCGTTACGATCAAAAATGGTTCAATGTAGCGAGTGAGAAATCTTGCTTAAAAACTGCGAACAATTTTCGTATCAAGGAGTAGGTTTGTGCGTAAGGTGAAATTATATCGCACACGTTAAGTGTTTCGTTTGATTTTGGCATCTGCTTGTTATTGTGTGACTCTTCTTTTTTAGCGACTCTCAATTTTTCAATGACGATCCCATCGCTATATTTACGAAGTGTAGTTGCACCGATATTTGCAATTCATTCAGTATTTACAACTTCATCTCAACAAGACCAATATAACTTCTTGAAGGACGCAGAGCAGAGTAGGTGACCTCGAGCTTGATAAGAGTAAAATGGTATATAGTCCGTAAAGGCGTGATCGCGTTGATTAAAGCAAAGACAATGAATGAGAGCATGTTTATCCAGTGCCGGAGTCACTCTGTTAATGCATTTCAAAGGTGACTCATCACCAAGCAATGAAATGGCCCCCTTTGTACCTTGGCCTGCCGCGCGTGAACATTCAATGTGGTGTTGAATTTAATGTACAAACGTGATATTCGATTCGAGACAAAACACAGTCAATAAACGTTTGCGACAGACTTTATCTTGGTTATAACCTGTGACGGTGTAAATAACAATTTTGATTCATTTTTTTGCAATCCGCCACATCCTAGCATATGCAAAAAGGTCATCATTAAAATACAAATGAAGTGCCAGCGCATTATCAAGACCGATTGCTGGCATATTGCAATAAACCACACGGCGTGATTCGTGCGTGCGTGAGAAAAACACGACTTGTACATTTTGGGCGGCAATTCGATCTACTCACCCGAGCATCGTATTTAATTCTTTCGAAGAGGTTGTGACCTGTACGGAATCCATCATTCGAGGTCCTTGAAATGCCCAACCACATATTGTGCGTCAAGCTTATACGCGGCACAACGGAGCAAACCATGGAATAAAAGAAAAGCAATATAAAAGCTATTGCAAACACTAAGGTAAAAAAATATCCAAGCTTAAGAGTGCCTTGCCTTACAAGGATATCAATGATTCCACACAAGCCGTCTCTATTGTGTTAACCGCACAATTTACATATTAGATGCTTGATGACAACTGTGCGCAATGAAATCACTCATAGCCCCGGCGGCGCGACAAAACGCTGCCTCAGAAACCCGCTTTCGCAAATAGAATATAAAAAATGTATACATATACATTATACACCGAACAAGTGTATCCTTTAAGCATACACCGAAGCGCCACAGATGACGTATAACGGTAGATTTGGACTCGTAAGGACTAGAATCAAAGTACATCTCATGTCTCCCCAAAGGCCAGAAATGTCTAAGCACACCTAATATCATTTAGCGTTCATTAACAAGAATCCGCTTGGCCGTGTCATGTAAGCATTGATGTCTAAACTTTATACATCCTTTTTATATTTCACTTGTCGTATCTTATTGCTGCGGGATCTTCCAAACAACCATTCTTATCGATATAGCATATAAACACAGGAGTTCATTAGTGCTATGTTGCAAAAGCGCATACACTCGAGCCGAGCACAGAAGTTTCGGTATCGTCCACATTTTGATTTCACGTGCATAAGTTTGCAATAGGTCTATGCCAATGCAAGCAAAGTATAACCAGAGCAATTCAATCACGATGATGTTATGGACAGCTTATGGAGCTTATCCAGGCGCTGCCATGACATCCCACTTGAAGTACTTACTGCAGTGAGAAAAACTTCTGAACCGCTTCAGAAATTTTTGAATTTATTAGTCAAAAGCACTTTGCAAGGTACATCTTAGCAAACTATTTCGCCGCACATCCTTACTAACAAAAGATGTTTCAGCCGAAACTGTGGACTCATCTGGCTTTTCGAAATTGTACACTACACGCAAATTACCATTAGCCTTGTCAGAACAATATGCTGGAATCGCCCCAAAAATTGCGCATTAGACCACCTCATCAAGGATAAATCTTAAAGGTCACGACATACAGAATCTATTTTGTTGCAGAAAAGTAGATATCTAGAGACCTCTGCTCAACGTTATCTTGATCCGCCTTAAAATGTATTCCAGGTGATCGTTGAAAGCTCTAGATAACATCATTCCTGGTTGTTTTAGGTCCTACATTGAAGCTGCCCCATCTCGTGCCAAAAAATTGAGCTCAGGACTCATTACAGTCGTGTGCGAGAAAAAAATTGTCTCGATTTTGGTTTGTGACCTAACATTGGGGTCGTGCTTTGGACGAAATCATCTCCTGTATATAGATTCAATACCACATAGTGTTCCACGCGATTGAAGTATCAAAGCCATATCTAGAAGAAAAAGTGAATGTTCGACATTTAGACAAATGTCCACACATAGATATGGTATCCGTACTTGGCATACCTACTCCTCATCGTTTAGCAGTAGTGCGTCACAATCAGTTACACGACACCTTGTTATTTACTAAGGAAATTTCCGTGGTTTTTGAAACTTGAAACCTTTTAGAATCTCGCGCAGAAACGCTGATATGTTTAGGGTGCGTCACACTGATTTTAGACACCATGAAGT